CATCCTGTGTAGCTCGTTGGGTCATAGAGGTGCACAAGCCATCACACCACGTCAAGGTGCAGTCTCGTCGTGATGGTACGTCAGTGAGAGCGACTAAACCACTGCACCACCACTAACCTAGGATACATCAGTTGACCTCTTCAGGCAGTCAGTCCTTCGCGTTGATCGTCCGGCTGTAATTCGACGGACTCTGCCGTGCGAAAATGATTGGAGACCAGACTGTAAACCAAACAAATCATGGTAAAATAATCTTAATAAAGAGAAAAACGTTCCATGTGGCCTGAATACTGCCAGGTTGCCCAAGCCAACGCAAGTCAATTTTCTTCAGGAATCTACAACCGGAGCCTCAGCTAGCCAAAGTCTGAACAGCAAGGCAGTGAGCGGTAACCGAAATCCATTAGGCTGGTGTCCAGTTCATCGGATCATACGCCCTTTGGACGGGGGTCAAACGTCCAAGGTGCCCAATATACCTCGATTCCCAATCGAACTGGTGCATACTACCACAGCCGGGAATGTGCGTGTTACGTACGCCTCCTCTTGGTTGGTTTGGAATCAGGGTTTTTGGCTAACTTCCCTCTGCCGAGGCAGAGACTATCTGATACGCTTGATCATATGAGAGCATTTCGCGAGGTGCAATGGAAGGGTGATCAGGCGCAACCCTAGACACCCACCCCCGGTCATACTGAGGCTTTCAGAAGTCATTTTTCAATACTCGGTAGAGCAAACAGTAAGACAGAAACGTGCCAGATTTCGAGCTTTTGCTGTATTCGTTTTATTGGCAAAAAACCACAAAAAGTTGTCAGATCTCAGAAAATTTAAAAATTGAAAGTGACTGTCTGGTATTCTTAGTGTTAAGCAAAACTAGACCATAGAACATTCTCCTGAAACGACAAAGGGATTACACTGCTTATTATTGCAACCGAACTCTTTGCACTAATATTACTGAAACTCTTCCTGTCTGTTCGAGATACTTACACTAGACCAACCCACAGTGGCTTTCACTTCAGATGAAGCTGTATGAACCACATCGTCACCTCGAGGAGGGTTTAAAAATGCAGCTGCATATTCAAGATTTTTTGACTTCGGAATCGTTTTCGATTCTGTCTACAGAGATTCGATTTGAACTACGTATAACACGTGTCGATGAGATGCTCGCAAAGCTCACAAAAACCCGAAAGTTCTCACGAGAGAGGGCTAAAGTGCGAAACCATTCCCAAGGTGAGAAATTGATGGAATTTAGTCTGAACTCCAGAATCCGACAGAGTTGTCCTCTTTCACCCAACCGTTTAACTAAGCCAGTGATTGGCCAACGAAACGCGCCCCCAACGGCTTGCATGGTATGA